CTACATTGCAAGTAAGTAGTAAGAAGTAGGAAGTAAGAGTAAGAAATTGATCAACCACACTCGAATGTGAGAAGAATAATCAACTATAATTGGTCAATTTCTTATTCTTATAGTATGTTTATACCGAGCGAGACTCATATAGTATGTTTATACCGAGCGTTTAATACGCGTACCAATTAGTAATTTTTATGTTAAATTATTTTGATTTAGGCGATGTATATAAACAACGTCATATTGATGTAGTGCAATATTGATTAGAAACATGTATCGTATTAATTGGATATATTGCATCGCCACAATTAAAATAATTAGATATAAAGTTACTAATTAATACGCGTATTAAACGTTCGGTATAAACATACTATATGAGATTAAACTTATTAATAACTAACATTTTTTGAAAATCAACTACCTGATGCTCACATTATCCGCTATGCTACTCTAGCTAACTCTAACTAACTCTACTCGAGCATCGGAAAGCAGTATTGAGTTGTCTTGAACCATGAAGATACTAGATGGTTGTGCCTATTACATTTTTCGACCATAGTGGAACTAACTCGTACTCGATTTAACATAAACACCCATTGAGTTAGAAGAAGTTGTCATAAACTACAAAATTACTGAATGGTCGTGTCTATCATAATTTTCGACCCTAGTGGAATTAACTCTAACTCTAATTATTGTAAACATTCCGTGACATATAACCTGTCACAACTCTATATCTCTGGGGGGTGTATATCAGTTGGACACGGGGCAATTGGACACAGTCCAATCACAAGTCGCTGTTCCAAGGGACCCTACAAATGTCTCTAAGTACACGGTGCTGTGATTGGCTATGTCCAAATGCACCGTGTCCAAGTGGGGTGTATATCAGTTGGACACAGGGCAATTGGACACAGTCCAATCACAAGTCGCTGTTCCAAGGGACCCTACAAATGTCTCTAATCACACGGTGCTGTGATTGACTGTGTCCAAATGCACCGTGTCCAAGTGCACCGCTCCCGTCCAAGTGCACCGCTCCCATCTCTGGGTAGCGATCATGAATCTTTCTCGTGAACTTCATTTTCATTTTTCACTTTCCACTGTGTTATTTCACATGAAAAATGAACAATGAAAATGTGGAAAGCAATATTTATGTAATATAGATTATTAAAATTAAAATGTAGTTACAGTATACACAGTGTAATATATAATACATTAATAAGCATTATACAACTTAAATTTATAGTTATAATGTAATATAATAATACAATATGAGTAAATTTAATAAATGAGACGAACATTAACCGTGAAAGGTGAATTCTCAAAACGTGAAATATTTCACGTGAACTTTCAATTTGCTCGTATATGTTCTTCTTTACATGTAAATTGTGTAAGTTTCCATGAAAAATTTTAAGCATCAAGCGATGTGGTTTAAATGTGAAAAATAATATAATACTACACTCGCATATTATGTACAAAGTGAGTAGAATTTCTTATAATGACTTTAATTTTTATGATTATACGTCAATTGGCATTTAACATAAGAATCCTACGTCATTAAAAATGAACAACGAAAGTCAATTGAAGCGTGATGACGTATAGGCAATGAAAGCATATCGACGAAGTTTGCAAAGTTAAGATACGTATGCGTTAGATAGTTAAAGTGTAATATATTATAAATTGTATGCAGTAAGTAAAATGTAAGTTTATTTTATGTATTTATTGCATGTATTTTATGTATTATTTTATATGAAATATATATTTTTTGCAAATTTATAATTTTAATATAAATAGAATATTTTATCTTTTAATAATTTATCCTAAAGTAATTCCAGACAAGCAGACTTCCAAGGGACGTTCTAAAGACATCACTTTATCTTAAAAACATGCTGAAAAAAATTTTAAAGATGTCCATTGCAAATTGATGTTGTCTTGAGTATATTGTAATATTTGTTTTACTTATAAATTCACGTTAAATCTTTCATTTTTCACGAGTTTAGTGAAGGTTTTCATCTTTCACGAATTCATTACAAAATTTTAACTTTTCACGAGTTCACACTAAGGGAAAAGATTCATGATCGCTACCCTGTACGCTCACCCGTCCGACAATGATATTAACCTTAAGAAATGAATTTATGGATCTTAGAAACTTTTGAACGTTGCCAACGCCTCTTTTTTTATGAAATTTGTCCGCTTAACAGAAATCAGTTGACTAATAGCATGTTCGACTGGCTCTTGGTTAACCCACTCTGGGTTATTCAGCCTACGTTTATTGGTCGAACAAGTATTTATAAGCTTTATGATTGGCTAGTAGAGACTTACGACGCCATTAATCGCTCTTGGAGCGATTAACCTAGAGCCAGTCAAACACGCTATAAGGGCTTGTGTCCGCGATGCTAAAAATCAGCTCGAGATCTAGATCCGAGAAAAAAGCAACCAATCCTTTCATAGTTTTTACGGAAAGACGATAATTTTATTGGTTATACGTTTCTCGGATCAAGATCTCGTTTCGATTTCTAGCATCGTGGACACAAGCCTTAAGGCCCAGTTCCACAACCTCCAATTAACTTAACTGGCTGGTTATTCCATTGAACTTGACCAATCGCATTTGACATTAATAAAGAAGAATTAATCAGAATTAACCAATTACTATTGAGACTTAATCGGTAGTTAAAATTAAACGGATGTTGTGGAACTTGGCCTAATGGTTCCTGCACGCAGGAGCGGTAATGTTTGCCACGCGGCGGAAGTCCGCGACAGCCAATAAATATATTGTTTTTCCGTAAGAGCTAGAAGGTTATTACGGAAAGCAGCATATTGATTGGCTGTCGCGCGAACTTTCGCCGTGCGGCAGGCATTATCGCGTCCTGTGTGCAGGAGCTATAAGGGTGCCATTACATAAAGCGCGGAAGACAAAATCTTATTAGTTTCGCTACGCGTTCCGCGTCTGTTTTGATTGCCTTATATTACATGAGGCATATTTTGAGCGGAAAAACGGTATGGGGAATTATAAAATATTAATTTTTAACGGTATTTATTAATTAAAATGTTTGTATTCAACAGATAAGCTAAAAGGATAAACATATTAGTAAAAATTGCAGTAAATTAAGTTAATATAATTTTAAAAAATATATACAGATGTTTATTTGTCATCAAACCGTTCCGATTTTCCGCGCAAATTATGCTCTAAATAATATAAGGAGAAATAAAGTCGCGGAACAAGCACGAAAAAATCCATTGTCATTAGTTGTCACAAGTTATCACAAGTTGTACAACCTAACCATCGTTACATTAAGATGTGTTCAAACACGTTCGGACCTAATATTTTTTTGGAATTGATACCTTGGTACCTCAGATGAAAAGATAATAGAGAAAAGTTTTGAGCCTTTCGCTTTTGGGTGTATATCAGTTGGACACGGGGCAATTGGACACAGTCCAATCACAAGTCGCTGTTCCAAGGGACCCTACAAATGTCTCTAATCACACGGTGCTGTGATTGGCTGTGTCCAAATGCACCGTGTCCAAGTGCACCGCTCCCTCGCTTTTCCGCTTTTTCAACGTACGGAAAGAAATTATTCAATTCGCGGAATGCGGAAATCTAGTAAGATTTTGTCTTCCGCGTTTCCGCGCTTCATGTAATGGCATCCTAATTGACGTAGTTAATATCCATTATCCCAGGGGGCGCTTCTTTTTCTTCATCCACTTTTATTGGTGACTATTCTCAGGCTTCTAAAAGTCTATGCAGAGACAAAGAAAAGAGAGAGGTGGCCACTCTCCAGTTTCTCTCTGGTAAAATTTAGTGGTTGGTACTGATATATGGTGCTCACGTGTGTATGTACGTCTACGAACACAAAGTTTTATCTTGCAGATGCAAAGATAAATGATATATATCTATCATAAATATTATTATACAGGTGTGATACATTAGTATAAAGGAAAATTTATAATTTCACCAAAATGCAATTACGTAAAATGCTTCAGTCTTGAGGTCTGAGATTCATTATTTATAGGCCAATAATGTAACAATATTGAGAATTAACAGCTTCTTCCTATATTAAGAAAATAATGGAAGAGAGAGCAATTTTATGGATGCTCTCCCTTGTTATGTTGATTGGTTCTTGCTTGGCTGGATCATTACCATTAATCATAAATTTATCAGAAGTAAGATAATTTTTGCAAAAGTAGACTATATCATATACATAAGTTATTTTAGATATACTATCAATATGACAATGTTATATGATATTTATTTTCTTCAGGACAAATTACAATTGGTATCGATATTAGGAGCTGGACTTCTTGTTGGTACTGCACTAGCTGTGATCATACCAGAGGGTATAAGAGCATTATTTACTACTGGAATTACTAGTGAAAAAGAGCAACATAGTATGTAATCTTATATATTTGTTTATTGGAGTATTTATGATGTGATAAAAATCTCTAAGAATAGTATCCTTAATATTATTCTTAAGAATAATACATAGAAGAATAGTTATGAATAGTTTTTAAAGAATACTTGAGAATATTTTTTTATAGGTGATCTACATTCTTTAATTGGAATCAGCTTAGTACTGGGTTTTATATTTATGCTTTTAATTGATCAATGTTCAGCAAGAAAAAGTGGTGGAAGACAAAAAAGTGTTACAGCAACTTTAGGTCTTGTAGTACACGCAGCTGTTGATGGAGTTGCATTAGGAGCAGCAGCTACTACATCTCAAGCTGATGTTGAAGTGATAGTGTTTTTGGCAATAATGTTGCATAAAGTAAATTCCTCAAACAGATTTTAAAAACTGGAATAAATGATAAATAGAATACACTGCAATAAAATATTTCTTTTTCTGTCACTAAATAATGTTATTTTTTATAGGCACCAGCTGCATTTGGACTTGTGTCATTTCTTCTTCATGAAGGTGTAGATAGAAAGAAGATATATAGACATTTATTAATTTTCTCCCTTGCAGCTCCATGTCTTGCACTTGTGACATATTTTGGAATTGGGAAAGTAAGTATTTAGTCTTTTTTTTTATTTTTATTTTTGGTATATAATATAAATTCATTTAATATTCAATAAATGTAAATTTTGTATTTGCAGGAAGGAAAAGAAACACTTAGTAGTGTCAATGCGACTGGTTTAGCAATGTTGTTTAGTGCTGGAACATTCCTTTATGTAGCCACTGTACATGTTTTGCCAGAATTAATGACAAGAAGCAATAGCTATTCACATTTGCCAAGCATCGAGGGTACAACACTAACTACAACTGGGCTTAAAGTTAAAGAAATATTATTCTTAGTAATAGGATCGTTTTTACCCGCATTGATTACAACTGGACATCATCATTGACTAAAATAAGTATTTTGTAAAAAGAACTTTTGCTATGTCTGTAATGTGTATGAAAGTTATTATTCTAATTTGAAAAATTCCATTTTTAATATATACTCTATATATAATTAATTAGTGCGATTTTAAAAAATGTTCAGAAAATTAATATATAAAAAATCGTTTTTTCTTGCATTATATGTGACAAATTTTGTTTTTTCAAAGCTTTTTTGTCACTGTTTCCATTGAATAGTATATATTATTATAATATACGAAAAACTATTATTCACAATTAGTAAATGCATATATAGTTCAACATATATGCATCTTTTATATATAAATTTAATGAAAATTGACCATGTAATAGGGGTTTCTAGAGATTTACAGTTTTTTTTTTTTTTTATTAGTCTACAAATCATAAAGAAGAAGTTTATAGTATATTTACTAATTATACTATATTTAACTAGTATAGTAATATATATATATATATATATATATATATATATATATATATATATATATATATATAT